ATTTCGCGCACATGCATGGTTTTTTTTGATTTCCTCGACTGCACAGTATAGTAGGTTGGCCACCATCTGTGAGAAAAAGAGCACCATGTCACAATTCACTCAGCCAGAAATTTGGAAATGACATGCTGTACTGCTTGTCATTCCTGCTGAAAGCTCCAATACAAACATTTCAGGGTGTTTAGGCGTCAATCTAAGTACAGTGCAGAAGATTCAGAAAGAGTTGGATGGGTCTAATGGTGATTACGAAGATAGTGCAGCTTGGAAAACTCACTCTGATCATTCCAATAAGAACTCCTGAATTTGTTGCTGAGGGCCAACATAGAGGCCTACATCAAGTGCCCTGAGGAGGTAGTGCTGCACGGGCTGCTGGAAGGCTCTAAGTCTGGCAACAGGACTCTGCACCATGCCACACAATCTGGAGAAACCAGTCATGGCTGTTAGACAATTTCTGCGACCACATCACCCCTTACATCTCACCACCTAACTCCCCAGACTGCAATTCTCTTGATTATTATGTGTGACATGCAGTTTAGCGAGAGACCAACAAAACTCCTTGTAACACCAAAGATGAACTGAAGGCAAGGATTATAGCAGCATTTACCAACTTAAACAAGGAGACCATTCAGAAGAGTTTAGGGGATTCTGAAGTCATCTGTAGGGTGTGGTTGAAGCCAATGGAAATTTTATTAAATAAATTTACTCTTTAGTATTTCAAGATACTTTTGTTTAATTTTGGAAAATATATTTGTTAAAATGAGATGTCAGTGTTATTTACATTTTTGTGTAATTTAGACAACAATTTATCCATCTCACCTTGTATGTATGTATGTATGTATATAAATTTGCTCATATTGTATGTGCAACACTTTTTACAGAGTGAACAGTCTATTGCATGCTTAAATATATATATATATATATTTTGTATATTTAGGCAGCAATCAAAATTTTTATGCATGTTTCATTAAAAAGACAGACAAAAGGTACTACGGTTGAGCTTTTTATTTAATTTTCTTGTGTTTTTGACAAGAGCTTTTTCTTTTCTGGACAAAGTGTGTAAGAACTGTCCGAATGTTCTGTATTTAGAGCGCTTTCGGCTATACTTTTTAGCCATTATCAAGGATGATTCGATTATCAGCTTAGTAGAGTGTGTGTGTTCTGTGTACTACCACACACTGAATGGTTTCTTGTCAGAACACAAGAAAAATTAAATAAAAGCCTTCAAAAAGTGGTATTTTGTTTGTCATTTTTTCTGAAACATGTTTTATAGTTTTATATATATATATATATATATATATATGAACTCATATTGTATGTGTAACACTTTTCACATAGGCAACAAATATTACATTGATCTTAGTCAAAAATACTCAAAAAGTGACACTTTGATCCTAGGAAGAGTGCCCAGATACTCTGATCTTAGGTAGGAATGTCACCCTGTATATAAATAACCCTGTCATTTTTTTTTTATTGGTACTATGATAGTAAACATAATACTACAACTTGATGAGATGTTATGGATCACATATCTTACAGAATAGAGATGTGACACTAATCTTTTTTTTCCCATATTTAGTTTCTAATCTCCTAGATGTGTAGTGTACAAGAAACAGTTTTCATAAATTCACATTCTTATTTTATTAAACTTTTTCTATCTTTGGTCAACATTTTATGTAACTAGCATAATTTACACACCCATATGTATGTATATCATGTGCAGACACATAGCAAATAGAGAAAAAATACTAAAATTTATTATATAATTAATGACAAAGATAATTCTTTGTGTATTTTTTTTATTTAGTTGACATGTGGGAGCACAACAAAGTTTTTGAGAAATTACAAAATGTTCAGCTACTCCAGCAGCCTTTGTCAATATTTGATATTGCTATGATTGAAGTTTATTGTTTGATTCTATTCTGACTGATATGATGCTTGTCTTATAAAAGTGTTTATTTAATGCTTATGCAACTTGTGCAATTTTAAAAACAAAATAAATATCTAACAAATTTCTACCTCCCTCAACGTTACAATTAAAAACCAATAGACACAGATTGTACAATCTGGTTGTTTTTAAATAAAAAAAAATCTACCTCAAAGAGACTGTGTCATCACCATGACTGTTAATTACTCTAAAGACTACTAAATTATATCAGATGAATATGAAAAACAAACAAGTTATATTAGATGATATCAAAAAAACATATGAACTTAGTGAAAGGGTTTTGTATCTATATAATGCATGGCATAGATTACGTGAGAAATAGACTTTGTGTAAAGATTATTTTTCTAAACTATCACTGAAATTTGGTTTATCATTGCAGCACTTAAACCAACTGGAAATTGGTATTAATTGAACTCAATCAAAATTTTCATTGTGTGAACAAAATCTCTACAAAAGTAAAAAAAATTACTGTTGGATTTTTGTGCTAAAACACAAAGCATTATGTGTTTGAAACCTGAAACTTTACTAAAAAGATTGTCAGAATTTTTGAGCAGAGGAATTATCATATCGTCTAATATATAATCACTTTTTACCTTCCATCAGCATTGCTGATGTTAACCTCCAGGTGAGTGACTCATTTCACCTTCTCAGACTAACATTTTCCACTGATATGAAGTGGAAAGATTACATTGAATCAATTGCTAGAGCTGCAGCTTGAAAAGTTAGTTCACTCTCATGTTAGAAAATTTTTCTCACCAGAAAATATTTATAAGTCTACCATTCATCCTTGCTTTGAATATTTCTGCCACATCTGGTCTGATACTCCTGCTATATATTTAGAGATTCTTGATAAAATCTAAAGAAGAATCTACAATGTTATTGGTCCAGACCCGGCATCTCAGCTTTATTCACTTTCCCACCACCATAACATAGCTGCCATGTGTCTTTTCTATAAATACATTTATGGTAATTGTTCTGATTAACTTTCCTCTATGGTACCTAGACTTTATGAATTTAAGCACTAGATTGGCAGCAAGGTCTTGTCATTTTACAGTTGAAGTGGCTAGATGAAACCATATGCTAACAGTTTTTTCTATTGCACTTCTCATTTGCGAAATTCTATTCTGGCATGTTGCTTCCTCGTCAGCTTTGATCTAAAGAATTTAAATGCAATGTCAATTGTTATTCTTTTTTCTTAATTCTTGTTCTTTTATTGTTCTCTCTCCTTAATAGTTTTTTTTTCTCATATTTTCTAATACTTGGTAGCCATTGGTGTCTTAGTAGCTTTATTGCCTTACTTGGAGTGAAATGATTAAAAAATGCTTTGCTAATAGAGTATTTTAACTGAACTTTATAGATTTCTGTAGACTCCTGATTAGTTAGATATTTTATGTGCATTTTTAGCTAAATCTCATATGTATGCAAGTAAAAATAAAATATTTGTGTACTGTATGTATATGTATGCTATTATTTATGAATATACTGTTAGTAGAATGAAGTTATTGTCTGCATTTCGTTTTTAGAGAAGTTTGTGCATAGAAAATTGAAATAAAATTAAATACAAATTTAGCTGAGTTTCAGATAATTTACAGAAACAAACTAAATATTAACTACAAATATATTAATTTTGAGTTAGAGAATTGAGGGTAAGAACGAGTTTTTACAAAAACACAAAACCTTGAAAAATGTGTCAAAATGAAAATATTTTATTTGCACTCATTTTCATAATCTGCAGCTTACAAATTATCTTGTGAGGAAGTAGTGTGGATAAGGTAAAGTGTAGAAAAAAAATGCAAGATTTTGATTTTTGAATGCTGATTCCCAAAGCAATCAGACCCTTCCTACTTACAGGATAGGCGCTACATAATCTTCCTTTCCAAACCTTGTTCCGTACTAAACTGACTTTAGCTTCGCACAGTACATAAAAAAAAAATGAAAAAGTAAAGAAAAAAGATATAGCTGGCACCACACACCAACGAATTCATCGAATTTTTTTTTTATTTTTATTATTCAAAATTTGGTATTTTCACACCAGGGACAATATTTTTTAAATTTTTATATTGCAGTAATTTAAAATATCATATTTTGTTTTTTAATTACAAAAATAGCAAAAAAAGTTTGTCTAAAAAATAAAAAATACTTTTGCGTACTAAAACAGGTTTTTGGTTTTTGACTTCAATATTTTTTGAGATGACCATTCATAAATATTCAAATAGCCAAGGTTAAGTGATCAAGAGGAAGAGAGGAAATAAAATTAATATGATCCTTAACAAAATGTTACAAAAAAACAAGTCTCTGAATGTGAACGAAAAGGTTGACAGGTAGCTAAACCCTAAGAATTCTCAGTATGTCTTTTTGACAGAATTTGAATTTGAGTTGGTCACTAACTTCAGCCTACTTTAGTTTAAAAGTAAAACAATAACAATTAGATTACATGGTCCAAATGATCCTAAATAAATGGCAATCTAAATGAAACATTTCGACATCTGTGTCAATTCAATAACAATCAATAAACGAAAGTGGGGGAAGGAAGGAATGCGACTAGTTTTAAAACGACGATGGAGGGGCCGTAGGACTCTAAAAAAAAATCTTGTACTTATACCGGACAAATGTGAGGGTGTTACGATTCTAGTATCAATAGTGAAGGTAAGAAATACTTAATAAAAACTAACATTTAACTTTATGGAAAGGAAAGAACTTGGAAAAATCAAAAGTAGTAGCCAGGTATCCAATTCCAGTGAAGGGGTGTCTATGGTCAAAATGATTTTCCTAGTGTGATCATAAAAGGGGGATCGACATTTTCTACGATTTTTTCTTACAAAAGCAATCTACACGATTTTCTTTTTAAATAATCACATTCGTTCTCTTCGAAAAGAAAGACTTGCACGATCGAAAAAATAATTTACATATATGAATATGCTTTTAAAGAGTAAATGCTTTTAAAGGCTTTTAAAACTCTAATCCCCGACTTTTGACCGCTTTTTAGGATATATAACTAAAAAGTTATAAAGACTGAAGAATGCTAATAGTGTTATATTTTTAGTAGTACATAACATACGTTTGATCAGGCATGTGCAGCATGTGAACTGTGCTGGATGAAGTGGCTTTCCTGTGCAGATGTCAGCCTCTTGTATGGTATAAAATTTGCACTCGGGGATGTCAGGAGACACCAAAAATAAGAAATAATACTAGAGCAAATTGAAGGAAGAAACTATGTTTCTGTGTTGACTAAGGGGAGATCACTGCGGAGGCCATACTTAAATCCTGTGAAAATTTTCAAATTTTAAATTTCATCACAATTAACATCATAACTAACTCGAGTAAAATGAATGACTGTTGTCATAATTTATTTTAATGAACATAATACGAAATAAATTTATAATAATAATAAAGAGGATGATTACCAAAAAAATCAAGCCTAATGTAAAATTAAACTAAGTTTTCTTGTTTGTCATTTATTTTATTACCAACAATGAGGAAAATAATAAAAGTAATGAAAATGAAAATTATTACTGTATAAATGAAATTGTTTAAGTTATATAAATTAATATAAGCAAAAATCAAATACTTCATTATAAACAATTTAGCAATTACTAAATTTACAGGTTTTAAATTAACATAATTTTTAGATTGTCATAAGAAATATAGTTCTGTAGGCTATTTAAACAATATAAATGCCTTTATTGTTGAGGCAATTACAAGAGGAGAATTACAAATTCAAACATAAATTATTCATCTTCCTCTTGACTAGATCAACATATTTCAATATTATCAATCATGATAATTTCAATAATTTCTAATTTATTCTCATAAGATACTGCATCTATTGAAATTTCTTTGTTACAGATGCAGATAAATTGTATGTTGATAGACATCGAAATAATATTGTTTTTTTTTTGCTCATTACAGAATTGGCTGATTTAGACAAAATATTGCACCAAAAACACTTAATGAAAAACACCTTCTAAAATCACAACTTTAAAATTTACAATATATTCTTTTACATTCGTTTATTACTTTTTCTATACAAAATAAATTAGTCATTTGAATTCAAATTATAAACGATAATGGTAGTATTAGCTGTTTCCTTATACAGAAACAGTCAGCATTTATTGACTGAACAGTGTTACTGTCAGTTGAAATTTATAAAATCTTTCAGGAAAATAAGTTTCAAGTTCACTAGTTGTTATCACTCTTTCTAATATTGATATGAGCTTAAAATATAATTTTCCAATTACAAGGATTTATATTAAAAAAGAATTTAAATAAACCTGAAGATTTTCTAATATATTTCTAGCATTAAAATATTTTCAAATTTGAATAGAAATTATCTTCTGATTGAATTAAGAGCTGTCATGACTGTGGAAGTTCTGAGGTCAACAATTTTGAAGTGAAAAAGTGTAATAATGTGGACTTCATTGCTTTTTAAATGATGTCAGTATCAATCACTGACTATTTATCACAAAATTTAATTCAGCCACAACTAAATTTCATTATTTCACAACTAGCCACAAATAAATTTCATTATTTCACAACTAAATTTCATTATTTTCAAACTGTGAAAAGAGAAGAACGAAAACTGGTCAGCTTTTCTTTTTACTCTTCTCTAATTTTTTTTTTTTTTTTCAAATTGACATTTATGGTAACTATACATTTTTTTGTCTTTTTGTCTAATTCCTAAATTTTATTGAATACAGCCATTTTTTAGCTATAATTATATCTTCATTTTATTCTCCCTTTTATGTACACTGATTGAAAATAAGATAGCAACACTCTATATGTTTCAGTTTACTCAAGATTGAATGTTCAATCCAGATTACAGTCAATTATCTCATATATAAATCAAATCATGTACAGGTTCTGAAATAAGGGGTGTATCAACAGTACTTAGACCCTTTATTAATACACTGCATATTCTCTATGGGCATTAACACAAGGTTACACCCTCATATGCATACAATCAAATGCTATCCTGCAATACTTTATTCCATGCTTTTTGCTACCTGTTACATAATACATCAAGTTGTAGGTGGGCTAACTGAAAGAGTCAAGCATTGTCCCATCATTTCCCATATATATTCAATAGAGAGGGTTGTGGTATGTATACTACTGAGGAGGTATCTAGACTATGAAAAATGGTTTCTACAAAAAAGCAAATACATGACAAGTTAAAATTTGTGAAATACTTATAAATAATAAAAAGGCTGACTGGGGAAAAGGTACACTATTTTTTAACAGAGTCCAAGTTCAAATGTCTGAACAAAATAAGGTACTACTTACAACCAGCTGGCAAGGAGTGCTTTCCAACAGGGTTTATAACTTACACATAAGCAAAGGAAAAGAAAAGAGAGACTTACTTTTTGAAAACTTGGGTTTTTAGATGTGCTTGCCAGCTGCTGCTGCTACATATCTTCTCATGGCCTAAACTCACTACAGAGTTTTAGTCTGGCAATTATACTACTGACCATGAAAGTTACCAAAGATCTTGCAAAGCATGTTGAGTAACATGGTTTTCATGAAGATTGACATTATCCTTCTGGAACAGTTCATTAGCTTCTTTTTGCAGGAAAGGCAGAAGAATGAGCTGACCAATTCTGGACATAACTGGTACTATTTCTCCACAAACACCAAAGGTGAGCAAGGGTTATAACTTATGGTAACCCATGTAAGAGTTCTGGGATTGCAAAGAAAATATTTGTCACAGATTACTTTCACAACGAAGAGAGCAAATCACTGTAAGTTCAGACTTGAATATCAGGGACAGAAAGAAATGTCGAAATCTCAATTCACAGGTACTATGTTACAAATTACAATGCACATAACCAGTCAGAAAAATAACTCACTCTCCAATGAACACAGTAGCCAAAATACACAAATTTTATCTTTTTTTTTTTTCATCCCTAATTCAATAACATCAATTGCTTTTATTGGCCAAGCATTTTTTTCATTCGTCAACAACTGGGAGAGGACACACAATATTAGCATATCAAAATACTTTTATGGTGACTCCTGTGACTGACTTGTTTCTAATTTGAATATTCCATCTTCAGCATATCATGCATAATACATGCCCTTTTTTTTGGGCAAGTAACTTTCTTTTTCGTCACATTTTTTGCTTTAGGATACATGCAACATCTTGTTGCTTGATTTGACGAGGTAATTCACCATTTTCTTTGCTATACCCAGATATAATGTGTTGGGCCTATGTGTCTGTGTCATGGACAAATACATTCTGGAATATTGTGCTTGCAAATGACCATCACTTGTATGAAAACAAAATTTGCTCTTATCACTGAACACTAGAGTACCATTTTGATTCCCCAGGTAACCATCTTGTGACACCACTAAAGACATGAATGACAGTGTTGTGGCAAGTGAAAGTCTGACTAGATGAATGTGTGTTCATTGTACTGTGGAAAGTAAATAATTTCCACCAGTCTATATTGGCGTCCGGGTAGAGCAGGGCTGAATTATATACTTTTGGGGTGCCTAGGCTAATGAAATTATAGGAGCCACTCACATGAGCCACCATCTAACTTGCCTATACCAGTCTTGAATATTTTTTTTACTTGTGATATATTTTAGCAACATTTATATAGCTTGAAGTAAACTTATTATAAATAAACTAGAATAGATATCTTTTGCTTGTCAAATAAAAATATTCTTTAAGAAATACCACTATTTTACTATTTACTGCAAACCAAATTAGCATGTTTTACAACATAACCATAGTAAAAAAAAAAATTTTATAACCAGCATTATAACAATAAAACAAATATGAGTTTGTCATATTGATATCATAAATCAAGTTTATGAAACTATTTAGAAGTTATAACATCTAGAAAATTAAAATCACTGCTTTATAAAAACTTGTAAGATTTAAACATTCTGAACTAAAATCAAACATGTTATCTATTTGAAACCCAATCACACAAACTAAAACATTTTCATTGCTTTGCTTCCTGCAAAGTCAAATAAATATGAGTTTGTTATATTTATATCATATATTTATATCAGTTTATGAGACTATTTAGAAGTTATAACATCTAGAAAATTAAAATCATTGCTTTATAAAAGCTTAAAGGATAATCCAGCCCTGAAAAATGGGGTGAAATTTAATCTTTGATCTGTAATGTGAATTTAAGCACAGCCAACCTGGGTTTGTTTAAGTATAATTTTTTTTAATCAGACAAGGCAGAATCGTGTTTATACAGGGGATTTGCAGATTAATGAAAACAAGAGAAAAGACTGGGTATAGGTGGGGGGATTGTGGAAAGGATAAAAAGAAGAGTGGAAATCAAGGCATCAGAAGATGATGATTGATGTTGCATTTAAATTTTTGAAGATTGTAGTTATCAGGGAAGCAAGCAAGAGGAAGAGAATACCATTGTCGGAAAGTGCAAGAGAAGAAGCTGTTAGAGTAGAAGTGGCAGTTATATTTACCTAATTCAACTGTAAAAGGGTGGGACCTAGATGTGAACTTAGTAGCACACTTAAATTCATGTAGTCAGGGTACCAGGGAAAATAGCTTGTCAGAGCAGTTGCCATGAAAACATTTGTAGAAAAAACAGAGGGAAGCCACATCATGTCTGTGAGAAAGTGAATAGAGTTGAGATGTCAAGTCAGAAACAACTACATTGCAAATCATTCTTTGGATTTTGTTGAGGGCCTGGAGATGAACAGCAGTGGCACCAGACCATATATGGCAACAGTATTTGATGCATTGACAAATGATAGATTTGTAGATGTGTAGGATGGACTCAAATGAGAAAAACCTTCTGGCATGATACAGAGAACCAACTTTCCTTGTGGTAGATGCTGCTATTGATCCAATGTAGTTGTTCTACATAAGTCAGTGGAAAACATGCAGCCAAGATAATTCACGCATCAACTATGCTGATGGAGGGCAGGGAAGTTTCTTTATGGTGGTTAAATGAGAGCAGTTTCATTTTAGAGACATTTTATCTTTTCAACAAACCATTTCAATATGGCCCTTATGTGTCTGTGCAAAAAAAAAAAAAGGTGGCGACATCTAGAACATGGTCTACAGGTATATGAATGTTCATTTGAGCACTGTTGCA